CGCTTTGCCTTGTGGGAGTGTTAGTAAAAAAGGATGTTCGTAGCCATAGACTGACTGTTTTTCTAGCCCTTTGCCACTTTTTCTCTTTTTTTTTGTAGATTGAAGTTTCATTCGCTCAGGCATAAAAGACATATAGGTTTTTGGATTTCAAATAAAACAACTTTTAAAATAATGCATACAGTTTCTTAAAATAAAGAAACAGCCACTCCCTTATCTGTTTGCGGAACGATCATGCTGACTGTGGTGACCGCAGTGAGTCGTGAAAAATTAATGCTGTGAAACTGTGTGTATTTGATTGGCTAGTTTCTGCGTCTGGTTCATACATTTGTCTTCTCCCTTTCAGTTCGAGTAAGATTTTAAAATTACTACCTGAATTCTTTTTACTATGGTTGCTGAGTTGTGATACTTCCTTGTAAAAGGACTTTGGTTACACCTGTAGACACTGTAAATAAGTAAACTGGAGCCTCATGGTGAGTGACCTGTGAGTTTCAGCCCTATTGTGTTGCTAGTTTGCGCAAGTTTTTCTTGATTTTCATATCAGAGTGGCAACACAACTAGTGCCTCTGGCTGAATAACAGACATTCGAATAGTTTCTGGAGAGAGCTATTGAAAATCTATTCAGTACAATCTTCTATATCTTTTCAATGATAACCAATTCTGATGAGTGTTGTGAACTCTTTTGATTGATTGATTGATTGAATCTTTATTTTGAACATGTTGAAAAAGTACAACAAAATAGAATTAAAAGAGACAAATGAACAAAGCAAAACAAAAGGAAAACGAGCAACCACAACTCCAAATAACGTTCATGTTCAAAAAGTCTTAACAGCACAGTTGTTTTGTACGTTAATCTCACAGTCTGATCTGCCTGTTGATTAGCTCTTCAGTTGTGAGAGCAAGAGAGCCACCAAATTTTGCCACAGCTTCCTTCTCAGGAAGCATGAAGTATACTCTCTTCTGAATTTCTGTGACTTTCTGGGCTCTGCTTGGCTTCTCTGTTCACTCCTTTATATTTTGTCCTACACCAACCATTAGCTGTTTGTTTGACTCAGGCTCAAATATTTACATTGGTGGAGCCAACACAGAAGGATCTACAGTAGCAGCCAGGTCTTAATATGGATAGCATAGCAAACATGTGACTGACACTGAGGCTGGAGAGGTATCAGGTTGTCATACTGGTATGAAAACATTTATTTTCCCTTAAATGTTTCAAATATTAAACCCCTACAATAGTGAGCATACTGTTGGGAGCTGAAGTTGTTCTTCAGGGACTCCCAGTGGTATCTCCAGCCACAATATATTTGGTTTTGCCCTCGCCCATGTGTATCAAGAACAATAAAAACAGGTTAATGAATAATTTAATCTTACTCACACCTTATACAAAAGCTTTAAAATATCTAACATAGGTCTACATTTTACAGTTTAGCAATTCTTATACTGTTAGTCATGCGAAACATGATGTTTGATATGGCAAATAAATAACACCTGTTCTTTTTTATATATATATATAT